GTTGGGCGGGGCTCCCCCCTCGCCGTCGGGCTGCCGCGGGCTGCCGGCGTCGTCTGCCCGCATGTAGCGGATGGGGTCGGGACCCTTCTCCGTCTGACCCAGACCAGCGAAAGCTGACATGTCGATGCCGGTGCCTGGGGGGCCAGGAGGACCAGGGGGACCTGGGTTTCCAGGAGGACCCTATGGGAGGAAGAAGATGCAATCATGATGGGCTGCTCTGCGAGCTGGACCCCCCCCTTTTGCTGCTACACCAGCATTTTTACTCACCGCAGGACCTGGTTCGCCGCTTCGTCCGCGGGGGCCGGGGGGACCGATGGGGCCGGGCATGCCGTTGGAGCCATCTTTGCCAGAGGGGCCAACAGGGCCGGGGGGACCCTAGGAGAGAGCCCCAAAACCAGGGTCAGGTCATTGCAAGACCTCAGGGCAGGGAAGGTGCTGGGGAGCTGTTAGCTCCTGCTCTCAGTGAGCCAAGCAGGCGACGAGGACAGAGGTGCCTCCTCTTCCTCACATCTCCTCAAAGGCCATGGGCAGGACTTACCCTGGGACCAGAGGGACCAGCAGGACCAGCAGCACCTTGATCTCCAGAAGGACCCTGAGGAGGAAGCGAGAGTGGACGGTTACATCTCCATGTCCATCCCATCAAGGGATGTTCAGCCCTAGCAAAGCCTCTGCACAGGCTCAGGCCTTCCTCCATGGCAGCAGCCACCCCAAAGGAGCTGCATCCAGCTCCGTGGTGAGATATGGATCCCAAAAACAAGACTTACGGGTGGTCCGGGAAGACCCTGCAGCCCGGTGAAGCCGCGGTGGCCCTTCAGCCCTCTCTCTCCAGCCTCTCCTGTCTCACCCTTGTCACCACGAGGCCCTTGGGGACCCTGGAAGAGGAGAAGGGGACATGTCAGGCTCAGGGTGGCAGACCTCCACCCAACACACCCCAGGACTCCATGCATTGCATGTGGGACACCCCAACAAGCCCGGCATCACTCACCGGCATGCCTCGAGCACCAGCAGGACCAGAGGGACCCATGGGACCTTGTGCACCCTGGGGAGAGAAAAGAGGGGAGTCAAAATAGTTCAGGATCACAGGGTGCCAGGGGCTGCCCTGCCTTTGGGGGTGTCCGAACTGGAACCAGCAGCTACCAGTGCCAAATGGCATCTTTAAATATTCTCAGCTGGAGCATCCGCGCCGAGTCATGATCCTCGGAAATAAATAGCCTGGCAGATTTCTCCTGGTGAAACCTCCCAGCACTCACAGCTCCCTGGGCAGTGCTTGTGCGTAGGCAGAGCCCAGACTGGGCTCTTGGTGCTCATGAATCCCCAGGAAGACACTTGGAGCTGCTAATGGCACTCGGGACACGGCTGAATTAATGACAACTGCTAACAGCACCCGCCTGGCTTTCCCAATTACACCGAGTCACTAATTGCTCCTGAAATTTCTTCATCTATCTGTGCTCAGGGTGGTTCCCATCTTCCCTAACAAGACCTCAAACCCAACGAGCCGTTTCCTTCATCAACATGCCAGCACTCACCGTCTCGCCTCTATCTCCTTGTTTGCCAGTGGGACCAACGGGGCCGGGAGCACCAGGGGCACCGGGAGCACCGGGGGCACCCACAGGGCCAGTTTCACCACGATCACCCTGTGCCAAGACAAGGGGATGGTCAAATCCACGGGATTTTTGGCCAGGATGAGATGACGCGCGTGTAGTGAGCGCCGGGGGAAGCACGTGGGCATGCTCACCTTGACACCGGCTGCGCCGTCTCTGCCGGGGGGTCCATCAGCACCGGGGTTACCCTGGGAGAAGAAGAGGAGAAATTAAGTCTTGACTCTGGGATGGAGCAGAACATGACCAAACTCCTCTTCTGAAGCAAAAAACACCAGCGAAAAGGAGCTGGCGATTGCCAGGAGCTGAGTTATGGCACAGAGCTCTCCAGTTGCAGGATCAGGGATGTCTGGTGCTGCTGTTGGGATGACACCGGGATGATCCTGAACCCGGCACAGACAGAGGCACCATCCTGCTTCCCCCTTTTTCCCACCCACCATGGTGTTGCTTACCTCACGCCCAGGTTCACCAGCAGGACCCGTCAAACCGGGGGGACCCACAGGGCCAGGAGGTCCACGGTCACCTGCAGAGCCGGGTGCTCCTTGTTTCCCAGGTTCACCCTAAATAAAGGGAAAAAAAACAAAACAAAAAAATAGCCGTGAAACTGCACCCGTGAGCAGGAGAGACGCCAGCGCAGCCCTTCGCCCGGCAATCGCCTCATTTTAAGGCTGCCAGACCCTTCCACCCAAATAATGGTCGGTTATTGTCCAGCCCTGATGCCTCTGGCACCAGCAGTTCTCAGTAACTTTGCAAAACCCCAAATCACACCCAGGATTGGGGTCCTTGGGGTGCTCGACCT